CAATCCCAAAATATGTCATTGACTCTTTCTCTAATCATTCATAAGGCATTTCAGAACAATCAAGTACTTACAGGTCATTTCTTACTATTGTGCCAGGTTAAGAAAGTTTCTTTCTTTTTTTTTTTCTTTTTTTTTTTTTGGGACGGAGTTTCACTCTTGTTACCCAGGCTGGAGTGCAATGGCGCGATCTCGGCTCACCGCAACCTCCACCCCCTGGGTTCAGGCAATTCTCCTGCCTCAGCCTCCCGAGTAGCTGGGATTACAGGCATGCGCCACCATGTCCAGCTAATTTTTTGTATTTTTAGTACAGACGGGCTTTCACCGTGTTGACCAGGATGGTCTCGATCTCTTGACCTCGTGATCCACCCGCCTCGGCCTCCCAAAGTGCTGGGATTACAGGCTTGAGCCACCGCGCCCGGCCTAAGAAAGTTTCTTAGTGAATGAATGTCAGATAAATCATTTGACAGTTATTTCAGAACTCATGGTGATTAAAGCAGAATGATAGTTCTCATTGATTACACTGAAATGTTTATATCAAAATGTAGGTGTTTTATACCACACCTCAAGTCAACCCATCAAGTCAATCTGGGAAAGGCTGATGTTTCAATCTAGGCACATCTAAGCACGCCTACTTGTGGAACTCTTAACAACGCAGTGTTCGTCTGAGTCATCACCTGTTAGGATCACAAAACCCTCAGCAGCTAGGGGACATGAAGGACAACTATCCAAGAATTTGAGACAGTCAGTACAGGGTATAAAAATTAGTCTATAATTTATATAGTTATCTATTCTTAGCTTACTAATATGGACTACAATGTTTGCCAAATTGCCTATTTAATAGCCTAGTTGCCCATTTCACTTTATATACAAAGCCAAACATATTCACTTACCAACTTACATATATGACATAATTTTTAATTAATTAACTTTGTACCTGACTGTAGATAGCTATTTTGATCTTGATACTGAGGAACCAAGTGGAGTGCTTTTAGTTCTCTTGTTCCAGAATTGTCTATACACAGCATTTGTGTGCCCCCTTTCAACTGGCATATTACCTAAAATGAAAAAGAATGAACAGGTTTCAGTTTTGGAACATAACTCCAGTAATAATGATCCTAAATAAACTTAAATCTGGGAAAACAGCTTTAATTCAGAAGTTATATTTTAATAGAAGATGGAAAACTACACATCTGTTTTTGATTTCTTACTCTACACTAACATGCTCTTTGGAGATACTGAGGGGCAAAAGAAACTCCCAGAAATGTCTCCTGAGATGCGTTCAGTGTGCTCCTGCGCCTGTCTTTCTCTACAGGTGTCTGACCATTGAGAGGTAATTGGGAATCAGGTGGCCGTGCCCCAGAGTTTCCTTTGCCCTGTCCTCACCCCACCACTGACATGAGCAGAAGAGAGAGCTGCTCTGCCGAGCCCTGGCCCATGTGAACCTGGTGGGCACTGAGGCCCTGGGCACACACTTAGAGTCCTCTGTAATTTTACTCCAGCTGCTCTTTCCTGCCACACACACGTCGTCATTTAATACATGGGGTTTTAAAAAACATCTGTTTTATTTCCTAAAAAGGTTAATCTAATCCAAGAATTGTAAAGTTCTAAGAAGCCACATTGATCTGCTTGGGCCTGAGCAGCACTGGCAGACCCCTTTGGATACTGACTGTAAATTAATGCTCGTGAGCTGGTGAGTCTGCCAGGCCATCCCCTCAGTCAAGCAAAAGCACTGAGGAAACTCACTGTGTGCCCAGCCCTGCTCCAGGCCTTGGTGCATGGGGATACAAAGGCAAGAGATGCCATGGTTTCTTCCTGCACACAGCTTCCAATTCTGCTGGCAGACCACAACTACACAGAGAAGCTGCACTTTATATAATTACGTTGCTTATAATCTAGAGAGGAGAACCTAAATAATCATAAAAGACCAATGTTGTCAAAGTAATACACATAGAGCCTACTATGGTAGCCAGGTGCAGGTCACTGGATCAAAACTCCACGTCATCCTGCATCCTGACCTTTGATGACAGGCCAGCATTCGTGTTCAATTGGAGTTTTATTTGATTTTGGAGCAT